ACCATTCTACAGAGATCGACGTATGGGTTAATTCCTAGGTATCTACAGGCTATAAAGAAATAGGTGAGCATCCTCCACCCATTTGGCACGAGCTGTCCAGGGCTCATATTATGCTCGACCAATAATGCACAAAAAAGGGATGCAGGGGCCATCTAAATCCCCCCTTAAGTGAGTCCCTAAAAATCACGAACTCTCCATCCCGAGCGAAGGCCATCCTATCCTCTACCCCTGGCGTCCTAATGTCGCATTTGGGCATGAGCCCATGCTCCCTAGCCGTCGATATTGCTAGATGTTCCTTAAATTTACAGAGAACCTCGGGGTACCTAAAAGGGGTCGGGATACTTTGTGCCCAAGGTTGGGCATTAATTGGGATAGCCATAGGTATGATTGAGCATCCTATGTCCTCGGGAGTACTCTTCGAGGATGATGATGAAGAGTCACTACTGCTACTACTAGACATCCTGACCTAGGTAAAAAATGCCTAAAGAATAACTTAAACACTCGAGGTCTTACCTTAAAGTCGACGCCTAAAAACTCAAAGTTTCGATCTCGACGATTAGCGAAAGAAGTTTACTGAGAGTAAAAAGTGAAAAATGAAATGTGGAGAGGGTATTTATAGGCAACAGGAGCAGGAAGCCCAAAGGTCACTACCCCGACCGTTAGATCTGGACACGTGTCCTACATCCACCCCTACCAGTTTTTACTGCCTTTTCCTATTCTAGGGCTGATGTCAGTACACGTCAGCCTTCTGATCACAGGTGTTCAGAAAATCCTCGAGCTAAAAATTCGAGCTTTTATTTCCAGTCTCTTTGCATCATATCCTCGAGCATATATGCATGGGGGCCTATGATGGTGACATTTTCCAATATCCCCGATCAACACATTATCCCGACGACTATTTTTGGTAAAGTTGTAAATCCATCTACGGTGTCCTCGAGCATGTGCATCCTCGAGACACTAAGCCCGATCACATCGCCTGCTGCTTCGCATATTGCAAATATTTTGTCCTCGAGCATCACAGTCCTCGGGCATATGCTCCCCTCACAATCGACGATGGTTGACCCTTTAGAATTCCTACGCAATTAGGAATCTTGACTCCCACAAGGATTCTATCCCACATATAATTCTAGAATTCAACCAACTCCTTAACTATTCAGGACTCCAACAGATGAGGACATCCAGCTAGTTGAGTCCAACTAGGAGAATGTCACTTACTACTATAAATACAGAACCTTGGGCCATTATTCAGGTACGTTTTTCATTGTTCTTCGGCACATAGCCTCATGCACAAAATTTCCTTTCTAACTTAAGCATCAGAGGGGCGACGAGAACACACCTTGTTGCCTTTGTTTCAGGTACCGGAAGATCATGTTCGTATTCCTCATCAGTTATCAAGCTCGGAAAATCTACAGGTACGATTTTTGGTAGCATCAACCAGATTGGTTAAAAATTAACACTAGAATTCCACCAATTGACAGGGCTGTATCCAAATGATCACTCGACCAATTAGAAGTTAGAATATCTTCTTCGTCTCCATTAGGTTCTAACAGTTGCTTGCCCTGATGAACTTCAATTTTTTCCATCCTATAACTCATGCAAGGCCAGCTACTTTCTCGCTCGCAAGTCCTGATCAAGTAGTCCCGCGAAATCAAACAAAACATGTCTTTGAATTCAACCCTCGGTCTTCCAAGATGGTAAAAAATTTCCATCTCCACAACTTTAATTTCCGTCATACATTCTCTTCGACGCTCTATTTTTAAACCTAATGACAGATGCAAAGCCCAAATACTAGTTCGAAAGCTGAATTCGTTCCAGTCCAAAGTAGTCGAGTTTTTCCTTCCTCCACACCCACCCAAGTCGCCTCACCCGAAGGCAAAGCTCGTTAATAGTACTTAAAATATTTTAATATATGCTAACAATTTAAGATTTTATGTCAAAATAATTGAATTTTTAGAGAGAGATTTCAGATGGAGAATTGATAATGTTTTTATACCTAGAATGACGTTTGAAATCACATATGGGGTGGTGTGAGAGAGAAGATGAAGTGATTTTTTTTTTAATTATTTATTCGGATTCATTTGTAATTTTTTGAAAAAAAATAAAAAAAAAAAATTGAAACTATGGTTACAATTAGTTCTTTATTTTTCTTTATCTTTCTTTTTGTTTTATTTAAATATGAAAATATATTTGTTATTTCACAACTTTTTATTGAGAAAATAGATAGAAATGATGATTTTCGCAATACAAGATGTAAATAGAGGTGAAAATGCAAAAAGAAATGAAAGGTAGAGACATTTTGTACAATGAATTTCAAATGTAGGGACGTTTTATGCTAATAACCTTTGATTTTAGAATAATTAGCAAAAAGCTGGAAATGGCATAATTTGGCTAATCTAAAAGAAAAGTATGGACATTAACGAGATAGAAAGATTTGATAAGTTACCTTACTGGGATTGGTATGCCTAGCCGAGGCATGAAAAATGGTTTCCACTTTTATCTCCCTCCCTTCTAGTGTAATGACGTTTGTTCTTTGTTGGTTTCCATTGTTTGCATTCATTGTGCAAATCATTCCTATCATTTCAAATTTGGTATTTACATAGTTATTTCAATTTTTTAATTTAAAATTCTTTTTAATTATTTTCTCTTCAAATTTTTTACTTACAAGTAACTTTTTGTAAAATAATTTTTGTCTTATACTATCTTTATTTTTTAATTTTTTGGGAGGTATTAACATTGCGTGTTGCAGTGTTTTCTTACAATATAAATATTTTTTAATTAAAATTAAAAAAATTAAGTTTTTTTCATAAAGAAAAAGGAATTAAAAAGTATTTTAAATCGAAAAAAAATATTTATAATATGAATAAAACAAAAAAAAAAAAAAAAAAAAAATAAAAAAAAAGAAAAAAAAATAAAAACAGAGAGAGAGAGAGAGAGAGAGAGAGAGAGAGAGAGAGAGAGAGAGAATGTGTGTGTGTGTGTGTGTAAATTAGCAACGAGGAGATAAAAACAAGAATTTGCTGAAAATAACTAAATCCCTAAAAAAGCTCTTGTAACTTCGCCAATAACAAAAAGATATTGAAACGAGAAACTTAATTACTAGAAAATAGCTAAATCTTTGGATGGTGCCATAGGGGAATAAGAAGAACGGGTAGTGGTGGCTGGTGGAAGGTTGTGAAATTGGATAAGGAAGAAGAACCATTTCGTTTTGTTTTTATTATTTTTCTAAATAATACTTTTAATTCTCTTTTTAATTATTTATACTTTTTTCTATTTTCTTACTTTTTTTATACTTTATAATTGGGAAGATAAATTCTTTTGTTGTTAATATTTTTAAATTATTTTACATGAGACCCGTTTGTATTTTTTAAAATTTCGAAACTCTACTTGCAGTTGTTATTTTTTTATATTATTTCTTTCTTTTCTTTTTCTTTTTATTAAAAGTGGAGAGCAAACTAGTGATTTTACAATATTTTAATAGAGAAAATAGACAATAATGACCTTCGAACAATCAAAACAAACGATAGGGATGTTTTGCGCCGCAATGATGAAAAATGATACAGACATTTTGTATCAGTTACCCATGTTCGATGGAAGGAATTGATAGAAGGTCGAAATGATCAATTCTACGAGAAAATGTTGAAATGATGGTGCAATTTCCAAATTTGAAACGATAGGACAATTTGTGCAAGGGATGCAACGATGTGAATGTTTTGTGCTAATTACCCTTGATTTTAAGATGCATTTCATAATTATGTTAATGTTTTTATTTCTTTATAAACATTTAAATCAATTTTATTCACATATATTGAGAATTTCTTGAGTAATATCCGTTTATATATCATTCATTTTTATTTACAATAATTTAAATCGCTTATAAACACTCCCCAAACATTCTCTTACTCATGATATTATGTTAAATTGAATTATGTTGTATGTGTTTAAATAACACCATAATTCAATGTGGAAAAAGGTACAAATTTGATTATTTGGAACATTTGATTCTATAAAGTAATACAAAATTGACTTCAACGCATCATATAACCACTTATATTTCGTGTTAAAGAATAATCAATTCACCATATTTTTTATTGTAATTGGCAATTCCTCTTTGCTTTAAGGTTTACACAATAGTATTCGGCACAGATGTAAAAAAAGTCTCAAGAAGAAAATTATTTATTTATATTTCATTTTTAATATGCAATGATTGAATTATTAAATACTTTATAAGGATTTTAACTTATTTAAAATGTTATATTTATGTTTATTATTATTTTTAACACACTTTTATCCATGAAGAATAGGATATAATATTCATTTTTCGACCATCATGTTATCTAAAAGAGGTAATTATCTACTCATAAAAATTTAACTTCACATTAATGTACCGAGGTCTAAAATCATCTCCATAATATAAAACCAAGTATTTGGCTGTAGTAAACGATAATTACAAGTAAAAAATAAATTCAAATTTTAAAATGGATTTTATAAATTCATAAAATTGAATTACGACGCGAAGTCAAAACTCAAAGTTTCCTGTTGGTTTTCGCCAAAAAAGAGCATTGACTAATTTCAAAGAAAATTCCATAGGTCTACTTGTGAACATATATAATGAACATAAAATTATATAATTAGCGAGTTGATCTCCGATCTTTTAATATAAATAAATTATTTTCTAATCGTTTATATTTTCTAACTATATAAATAACGCAATATCATTATTAAATCATCACGTGGTCTTTTGCATATTCAGAAGTACGAAATTAGGCTTTGCCTCACAATTTTGATTTGTGTCTGGAAGTTTTTCATGATAAATCATTTGTCAAAAAATTGAATGATTTCTAACATTGTAATTGCAGTCTGATTGCAATCTTTTAAATATTGAAGATCAACTTACTAATAGAACAATAACTCGGAGACCAATGCTCCAATTTTCACTTTTTAAAGTGGAGTATTCGATTACATTACAAATGCATTAATATAATAATTTGTCAAGTGGACAACACTATCACCTCCACCCCACAATTTCCACTCACCACCGGCAAGGAACATCCAAAGAATGCCCTTTAAGTTGCTTTCTTGCTTTAAAACCAGCTGCTCAAAAGTGGGTGATTTTCCTCTCCTTTCAAAACTCTACCTACGCCTTTTTCTCTCTTCCTTTTTCCATCTCTTGTGTTATGGATAATACTCAGTGGCCACAGGTAAAGCGAAAAAAATAAACCATGTTCTTTCTCATGATAACATCTTTCTTGGGTTGGGAGTTTAGCATGTCTTTGCTTTGGGTTTGTAAAAAAAATTTAAAGCTATGAACTTTATCTGCAGATGATCAGCCCCCACTAATCTTTGCTCCTTTGAATTTCGTCTTTTGAGATGTTTTCTAGCTTGTGTATCCGAAGTAGTTTTTTTTTTTTTTTTTTTTCCTTTCCACTCTCTGAAAAAGGATTTCAAAATCTAATTAATTTTGTTTCTTTTCTTGCTTTAATGTTAAAGCTAGCCCTCGAAAATGTAAAGCAATACCTTCTTTTTGTTGGTTCTCTTTTTCTGTACTCGTGTATGTTATAAGCCTAATTATATTGGGTTCTTATCCCATCTTTATGTTTATACTTTTTGGCTTGTGAGAGGTTTTGGTGTGAGTCATTACAATCTTTAATTTTCTTGGAAAAACTGCAACGGAGGTAGATATGGCTTTAATGTTGAAAAACCTGCAAGGGGAGGTGGATATAGCTTTAATGTTGACAGTGAACGAGTATTTGTATGAGTTTTTCTGATATTATTTTGCTCATTATTGCTCTCATAATTGAGATTAAGGCGTAACCCCAAACATCCTTTTCTCTTCAGGGTATTGGGGTTTCGTCGAAACCAGGTGAAATCACCAGGCCAGCCATAGAAAAAAAGCCAAGGCCTGAAAAGGAACAAGCATTGAACTGTCCAAGATGCAATTCTACAAACACAAAGTTCTGCTATTACAACAATTACAGTCTTTCTCAGCCAAGATACTTTTGCAAGACTTGTAGAAGGTATTGGACGGAAGGGGGATCTTTGAGAAATGTTCCAGTGGGTGGCGGTACAAGAAAGAACAAGAGATCTTCTTGTTCATCATCTGTTTCATCAAAGAAAATTCCAGATCTGACCCCACAAATTTTTTCTTCTGAAAACCCTAAGATTCATGATGGCCATGACCTGAATTTAGCTTATCCACCTACTAGTGGTCATTATAATGGAATATCAGAATTTGTAGCTTTACCTTTCGGTGATCACATGAAAACCCTAAATCCTGCAAACCCTAATTCCTCTTCAGCTGCCAATTCATCTCATATTCCAGTTATGGAATTTCTCAAGACAGGGATCACCTCAAGAGGACTGACCAGTACTTTTATGCCGATGCCGGTTTCAAATTCCAACACAATGTATTCATCTGGATTTTCTTTGAATGAATTCAAGCCAACTCTCAATTTTACCCTAGATGGACTTGAAAATGGTTATGAGAATTTACAAGATGTTCAAGATCATACAAACTCATCAAGACTTCTTTTTCCATTCGAGGAATTGAAGCCGGTTGCACCACCTGAATTCGAGCCAGATAGAGGGCAAGGAGAATCCAATGGTTACTGGAATGGGATGTTAGATGGAGGGTCATGGTAAGACTGATCGGATATAGTACAATCAAGCCATGATCAATACTACATACTAGGCGTACGCCGCGTACCCGAGAAAAAACTAAGTGTGAAGTTATTGTCTTTTCAATAATGCTGAACTGCCAGAAGAAAACTGCCAGAAGGGCTGACCGACCCTCACAAGTCGTGGGTCCCACTTGAATATAAAAATGCCGACCTCCCCATTTTTGTGTTGTTCGGTCATCCCTTCTGTTAGGGCTTCTGTGCTGTAGCACGTTCCATTGTCTTTTTGCTTGCTTTTTTACATGGGGAGTGACTGATTTTGTTTGAGGTATGATCAGAACTAACAGATTGCGTGCATGTGTTTATTTCTTCTTTCTTCCAAAGCTTTCGGACTATTTTCCAAATTTCTTCTTGGTATTGATTTCTTTTGTTTGCAAGAATTTGCTGTTTCATATCAATGTAAATTGAAGAATCTTTCTTTAATTAGGGTTTCTTCATAGCTGTGATTATAATGCACTACTTAATAGTAATTGATCTTTGTCTAAAGATTAGCAGTCATTATATATACAATGTTCTAACTTTGAGTGCACTGTACTATCGTTACTGTTTCATCGATGCATTTAGATAATTTGTGGTCCCTTTATTTCTTATTGTCTAGATCTTCACGTGAAAATTTATTTCTAGTTTTCAGAAAAATAGGGATTTTATGGTATTGTTAAGTGATCTTAACATAAGTACATGGAAGGCTTAATCAAATTTCTTAGGACTCCAGTCTCCAGAGTTTATATACATTGTATTCGACATGATATGAACTTTGTTTCTGGCATAATCTATCCTTTTTCTTTTGCGGTATTGTCCAGTACAGTAATGTCGACCATCTACGGTATCGATCATTCAAATATTGCATTGATGGCTGGCTTTCAATTCATTGCCACCAGGTCACTTTTCTGCTTTTTTTCCTCTTTTGCTTTTCAATTTTATTGCAAACAACAGGTCATAATTATTAGTTCTTCTTAAGATTCTTCCAACCTTTAAAGCATATTTTGCAAAGCAGGATCTCTAGATATCCGTAGAAGAATAACCAGATAGAATTAATTATTATGTACGACCTATGATTCCTAGCTTTATTTCACATGGTACACAAGTGATTGGCCTAGCTTCTGAGAGGGTAATATGCATGGGTTAGTGTACTACATGTTCCCAGATAGTTAAAGTTCTTGTCTATGATAAAAATCTTCAAGAATTCTTTTATTTTTCCGTTAATTTAGTTAAATTTCAATTTAATTCATTGTAATTATAATCTACTGCGGTAACAGATTAATTAGGGTAAGTGTAGTAAGCACAGAATTGAAGTATCTGTAAATAAGTACTGCAGAGTGTTATTTTGCCACAATAGATGAATTGCTGATTATTCTTTAGTTCTAACTTAAAAATTTGTAATATGGCATGGTTGCATATTTGATATGTTGGATCGAAAAGGATGAATTAAAAATATAGTTGTTGGAAAATAGTTATGAAGTGGGTCAATTTTGAGCCCAAATTTCAATGGGATCCGTACTTTAAATTTCACGGGACCTAACAAATTTAGGTTCTACTCCGCGAGATGTAGAATTGAATGAAATATTTAATATCAAAGTATTATCCCACATAAAAAAGTTAAGAAATTTTGATGTAGTTTATTTAGTGAAAGTTTGGGAATTGGATTTGGACCCCAAGGTGTACCAATAATCTTTGAAAGTAGAAGACCTATATTTTATTGGGTTAAGTCATAAACTCACGCTCGCGTTGCCGCCGTCCAGCTCGGTACAAGCACGTGCCCGAGTCCAGTTCGTGTTAGGGTGGGGTGGGTCATTACACTATATTAACTTTGCGGACAAAATTTATTTGAATATTTTGGGCCGAATTGTAAGTTAATCGACTAAATAGTTGGTTTTTACCCGACTTAACCGACGCAATATTGAACCAAGCTGTCTGTTCAAGTTTTGGAGGCTGTCTGAACGGTGATGATTGTTCTGATGGATGTTCGAATAATCACGAACAAGTCTATAAATAGCCTACCCCATTACTAGAAAACTTACACCATTTTTATTGCAAACATTCTCTGCTTTGAATCTCATTCTCCCTTTCTCTCTCTCTCGTTTTGATATTACTTTCAAAGAAAAACACTTTGTTACGTTCGTTGGCTATTTCCGTAGGAGAAAAGATTCATTCTATCCTAGGAAATGATTACTGGACGTCTTTAACACCATTGAAGCCAGCAAATTCGTTTTAAGGAAACATCTTAAAGTTGATGGACTTGAATTATTCTCTTCTGATCCTGTGATCGTATTGTTACTTTAAAAAAAAAAATTACATTAAAGTAATTTTGTCAGATTGTTTTGAAGGGGAAACTTATACTCCAAAAACAACAATAACCCCATAAAATGCTTATCGGTTATTCTATTTACTCCTATGAGTTCATCATATCAAACATGGAGGCAAAAGTTAATATGAAACGAATTCAACCTAGAGAAAAAATCAAGTTGAAAATTTCAGTTCATATATGGGCTTATTCGCATGGATCACTTATTGAACATAATTTAAGTAACTACATTTATCGACACTAATATTTTAAACTATTAAATGAGATGATTCGTGATATTGAAGTAAATAAAGATTTTAAATTTGAAACTTGTTGCAATACATGTATAAGTTTTGCACATAAAATGTGGAAAATAAAAATTCAATTTTAGGGTGTGTTTGAGCTCCTTTAATTTTAAAAAAATGTATTATGGAATAGTAGATTGATGAATAATGTGTAGTTAAAAAAGAAAGAAAAAGTTTTTTATTTATATGTAATATTATTTTAATAAAGAATGTATGATAGAAAATGAGTGCTATAGAAAAAATAATGTGATAAAATATAAAATAATGGATGACAAACAGGGCTTAATGATGATGCATGCATTTTTTTATAGCAAACTAGGCTTGACTGTCAATGCATTTTTTATATCTGATGGGGCTCCCCGAAACATTCCCCCGGCAAGCGTGCTCAAGAATTATCCCCCACCACTTAGCATATCCAACACATGTTGGTCCACTCAACATTATTTGGCCTATATTTGTAGAGTTTTTAGTTTGGAGTTTTGGAATAGTTATTTTTTAAGAATTGTGCAAAAGTAGAAACAAGTTGTCGAATTCAAGAATGAATAGAAAGTTCAAATTTTTAGCCACTCGACCTTATAATTCAAGAGGTAAAATCAGTTTAAGGGATAAATCTCAGTAATTTTTAATAACGCTTTGTAAGATTGAATCATGAGTCTTAATATGATTTCAAATAGAGCTGGTTAAAAGGAGTTGCACGTTCTTACATCTTACTGTTGGTTATCTATTTTATCTCCCTTAACAAAGTTTAACAGATCAGCTAAGCTATAAAAATAGTAATTAATCTAGAAAGTTTCATATGCATTTTTTCTTAATAAGGTTGGATTAGAGAATTCAAACAAGTCATTATATTGTGGAGCATGTTAGAGATAAAATTTAATTTGAATCATGTGTCACATCGCAACAATATGTACCAAGACTTGAAGATCCATTTAAACTATCAACTTATTACAAAGAGTAATCTAAATTCCTGAATGTTTTATCTATATTTTTATATTTAACCAATATGGAATTTTTACCTTAACATGTCATGCAGCAGGGGCGGACCTATGTTTTGCAGGACCTGAGACGAACTTCATATTTTGAGCTAAGCAGGGTCGAACTTGTGTTTTGCGGGGGCCTGAGATGAACTTCAAAATTTGGGCTCTTAAATTACGGCAAGCAATCAAATTTTTTCATTTAAAAGAATCTTAAGAAACTAAATTTTTTAACTTAAAATCAATAATGAAACAACAAATAAAATGAAATATTCCAAATATTTACATTATAATCAAACAACATTGCGAAAATATTCTAAACGATCACTTAAATACAACTCATCTTGCAGTTTTCGAGAAAAAAAATCAATATTCATCAAAATTCAAAGAAAAAGAATTCTCTTTATTTAAATCTTCATTATATTCATCATTCTATTTTGACTCGTCCATATTGTCAGGTTCAATCATTTCCTTATTCTCTTTCCGTTCATCCACATTATCATTATCATTTTAATTCTATTGTTCCTCAATCATCAAATTTTTCGGTGTTCCATCCTTCTCTTATCTTTTCTTGCTATTAAAATAATTATCCATATCTCAAGCTTGGCTTTGAATTAGCCTCTACATTCTCTCTCTCTCTCTCTCTCTCTAATTTTCCCTTTTTTTTCTTTTTTCTTTTTTTAGAGTTCCAGACGCATATTACGGAGCCATTATATATTGATATTCGACTTAACAACAAACAATAACTGAAATATGAGTATAAATAGGAACTCAAATTAGTTTAAGAAAGAAAGATTAGAAGATATGATTTTTTTCTCAAAACATTGTCCACAAATAATATATACACAGAAATGTTTTCATTGACAATCCTGTATAACTTGTTTAATCACTAGTTCTAAACTAAATTATTTGACATAAGTTGTCGTTCAAAATTGAAAATGGAAGGACTCGCTGACAAAGCAAAACCCATTACCCACTAATAAAACATCAATTATAAACATTATATTCATTCCAAGCTCCAAATCCATAATCCAGTGCGAGAATTTAAAATAATAATAATAACCACTTCCAATCAAATCATAGACATATATGAAATCTTTTTTCATTAGTCTAATACAACCAGAAGGCAAGAATTCTTCTGAGTTCTTCACCAATCAAAGAATCAACAAGCCCGACAAAATTAAAAGAATCGGTCTAAATTATTAAGTTAAATAACTAAAATACCAATCTTAATTTTTTTATATTACAAATACATACACACGCACAGAGAGGGAGAGAGAAGACGGAAACGGAAGATTAAGGGACAATACTGTGATGCGTTTTCACGATTCTTGATATGAGAGTCTTTAAGTGTAAACCCAGATGATAAAAATCTTAATATGCAGGCTGTTAGTTGAAGCGATGCCACAATTGCTCTGCCTCATTGCCTTTATTAATTGAGGATTGAATTTGGGCGAAAAAATAAAAAAATTTGGGCCCCTAAACAGCGGGGCCTGAGGCGATGGCCTCTTGGGCCTCACCTCAGGTCCGGCTCTGCATGCAAGATATTGTCTCTGTTGAGAAAAAAACGTATTTAATTTGAGTTTTAAATGAATCAAATTGCTCGTTATCTTGGGATTACACCTCAAAAGGAGTAGCTAAGTCCTTAATTAAATATCGACTTAAAGTGAACTCTTAAGACTCACTATTTGTAACTAATTACTGTATAGGATTCCCCGTTTGCAGATACTTCACAATGAAAAAGTGGAGAAAGAATTCAATAGACGTGGAATTTGATTTACAAAATTATGACAGAGTTTATATTTTCTTATTACTGGGAACATAAAGTACATTCGAAAGACTAAAGTCCAGGGATTGAATACAAAAAGACTTGTACCATTTCCAATAATGATATTTATTGTGAAGTGCAACATTAAAGACAATGGAGTCAATGAGATTCGAAGCTCCAGAGTCAACAATCTAATCACTGGTAGAGGACTGAAGATCTCCATCTGAACGTATGTTGGCTTGAAATTGTGTCTCCACTAAATGTTTGAACTAGGGAAAAATGCTTTTGATGTTGGATTTTTGTGCCATGGGATATAACCCAACATATTTAGTGAAGTGATCAACAATGATGAGGTAATATTTCGAGCCATCTACTCCAACTTCATGAGTAGGGTCCCAAACATCAGTATATATTAATTCAAGAGGAGCAGTGCTAGTGAGACTAGTAGCACGAAAATGTTGTCTATGATTCTTATTAGTTAAGCAAGAGATACATAAGGAAAATATTTCTGATTTTTTAAGAGGTAAATGAAACTGATTAACAATGTGAGAGATAAATCTTGATGAAGGATACCCAAGCCTTTTATGCCAACCAGCTTCCGTAGTACTTTCATGAACATAAGCTATTTTATTTGATGAAGTAGGTGCCAGTTGTAGTGCCAAATTCCAGCCAACACCAAGGTAAACCGGGCTCAGTTTCACCAAGAAATTGCGACACCAACGGGTTGAGACAACTCCAAACCACCACCAACGCCGCCCCACTTTCGGTTGCTATTAGTTGGGCAAGATGAAGAACAATAATATGCCCTCTTGAAATAAACCACTAAGGTCACAGAGAAGAGAAGAAATCGAGAAGAGAATGTCACAGAGAGAGGTTGGGCATTCTTCATATGGAGGCCGAGAGGAAGGCCAAGAATATAAGCGAAGCAAATAACCAAACAAGGTAAGTTAGGTTAGGGTTATTTAGTGGACCAAACAAGGCTCGACTCAAGGATAATGGGCTTCAAATTAATAACATAGCCCTCCAAGGAAATGGAACGAATCTTGAGCAACACTATTAACAATAAGTTGCTTCGAACGGTCCATAGGAATGTGGATTGGGTTGTCTCGATAATTATATCGATATACTAATCAATTATATGGCTAAGGCAGATTGATAATAGAACCGAGATTACATCATAGCCCGGGGGGTCGTTTGACAACAAATTGCCTAACAACAGTGAATCAGGAAGAGGATAGACTCCATTTTCACATTCTCCTCATAGTATTGTCTCCCTCGTGGTCTGATCCTTCACAAAAAAATGAGATGGGTGAAACTCAAGCAACACATTATTTTGTTTAGTAAAATGATTAACAAAATCAAGTTTTTCTAATACTAGGGACATATAGGGTATCTCGGAGGTGGAAAATATGAGAGGGTGATTTTAAAGCCAAAGATCTAACGTGGGAGACCGGCAAACCTGATCCATCACCAATGACTACTGCATCTATACCATCATATTCTGCGTGAATAGATAAATTGGATAAGTCGAAGGTGATATTGTGGGAGGCCGCAGAATCAACAAGCCATTTTTTGTCATGTCCAGAGGAAAAGGCATGGTGGGCCGAGACATTTTGGCCTTGTAGTTTAGGGTAGTGTTTAGCAGTGTGGCCCAAATCATCGCAGAACTGACATTTGGGCTTGTAACGGCGTGGCCCGAATCGCTGGTCTTGTTGGCCATGAGATCACTGTTTGGGAGATGCAAGATCATTTTGGTTCTTGTCTCTAGTTATAGGATTGCGAGGCTTGGAGTACCTACTATCGCGAGGTCCTGAGGTGATACGATGTTGGGATGTGTTAGCGGTGGCAACAAGAGGCTGGACAGAAGCTTCCAGGCGCCAGAGATAGCTCTCATGACCAACAAGTACGTTATGGATCTCTTCAAAGGTCAGGGATGATTCACAGGTGCGAATAGGATCGACAATCTCTCAGATCCCAAACCATTAAGAATGTAGATGGTGAGATCATCATTGGAAATTGGATGATCTACTAGTGCAAGTTCATCTGCAAGGATTTTTATGGCTTGCAAGAAATCTATTACCGAACGGTTACCCCGTTGAATGAGAGTAAGTTCTTCCTTCAATTGAATGGCACGGATCCGAGATTTGCTTGCATACATTTGATTGAGTTTTGTCCAGGCATCATGTGATGTCTTAGATTGTGTAATAAGAGGAGTAACCGTGGGAGAGGTGGAGGAGAGAATGCCATGGAGAATGAGTTTGTCCTGGCAGACCCATAGTAAGTGTGCAGGATCAGATTTCTGTGGAAAAACAGAAGCACCTGTGACATAATCCATGAGGTTGTAGCCAATGAGTAAGGCCTGAAATTGGGCTCGCCATTGGGGAAAGGTGGATGGGGTGAGCTTTTCATTGACTTGTGTAGCAACTTTTAGAGTAACTAAGTTAGTTCCAAAGGGAGAAATAACAGCAACTGGAGAAATGGAAGAAGGGGTGGTTTCAGCAGAAGTCATTTTAGAGGATTCAAGATACTCGTTAGAGGTTGTATGCTCTAATATCATAATGAGAATTTCAGGCTACACATTTTCATTCACTGTTGTATGGATATATATACACATTACATCATGTTCTAACTATAGAATACACAGAAGATTACTCTACAATTTTGCTCCTAGTCACAGCCATGATTTCAGCTAACAGTTGGTGTCCTGATGTCTTGCTGATTGCATGATTTTAGCTTCCTGATTGATTGTTGGTTTGGCTTCCTATTGCTTGCTAGTTTATCCTGTTGTTTTGCTGATTGCATGATTTTTGGCCTCCTGTTTGCTTGCTAATTTACCTTCCTAATTGCTTGCTTGTTCGGTTGGGTTCTTGGCTGAATTGTCTTCCTTAATAGACAACACGTGCAATGAGAGGAATAATAGCTTTTTTTTTTTTTTTTTTTAGTGGCTATACGGCATGCTTGGCGTTTCCAAGAAAGAAAGGCAGGGTAATTTTGAAACTTGGACTCCATCGACTGCGACAATTTTGTTGGGAGATAGAAATGTTCCGTCGAGATGGTCTATAAGATTGAGGTCATAGAGGAGAGATGTAAATTGGACTTTTTTCTGAAGAAGTAGCGATTTGAGTGGTAGTTGTACTGCTCGTGACGGATTTAGTGGTCATTAGAATGAAATAGAAGGTGACATGAGGGAATGGTAAAGGAGAGATAAGAGGGCCAAAAATATTGAGGAAGGGAGAGTGTGTGGGCTCGTTAAAGTGTTTACCTACTTTGATACCATATTGAAAGAACTCAAATGTAGAAAGGTACTTTTCCATGGTATTTCATTGATTAATACATTTAAAGCTTATACAAATGATAAAATTGAAATAAATGAAATGATAAGATTACAATAAAAAATCAAATTACAACAACTCAAGCCTTATTTGTAGAATCTATTTTATCTTTTGATTGTGATGCGATCCTTGTAATAAATATTCATCCAGGGGTAATGACTTATCCTTAACAATAACGTATGATGATATTGAATTTTATTGGCACAAAAAAGGCAATTTAAATATTTCTTAACGAAGTGATGGTAGTTCGTTTTTTTTAGTATTGATTAGATTCTAATTTCTTAATCTTCTGGAAGTCAATTAAGATGTCGTTTGGATTAACTTTTTAATTGATTATTTTTACTTTCAATAAGCATAGTCAACAAAAATGTTATTTTTGCTATCAAAAATGTTATTTTTACCGAGTATTTAATCACAGAATCTTTTAATCAAGAATTTAAAATGATATTTTTACCTGCCATATCGAATCCGGAAATCAAAACCACAAATTTTATATCGACTGTGGTCATGTCAACTCCAATTTATCAAACAAGTAATCGGGCATTGACTTGAATTTAAGTATATCAACAATACCAAAACAACTCCTCACACAATATACAAATACAAACTATGAAAAAATCATTATATTGGAGCCAAGACAATGGTTTTTATCCATGACAATCGTTTACATGAAATATTAACTTTTACTTCACGAAAAGACAAATTTCTTGTAGACCATACAACATATTGAAGCCAATAATATACTGTAGAAATCATAACTTTAATCGAATCAAGGTTTGAATGTCAAAGGGATATGCATCAGAAGATAGTAACGAAGTGTATGCTCTTGTTGCCACTAGCAAATTTACAGTTTCAGGAGGATGAAAATTATCAAAGAACAGATGCAATGGCCTGATTGGGCATGGATCTTGTCCAGGAATGCACAGTCCATCTGTCGATACTTTGCAGCACGGCGAACGGAGAATTCTCATAACTGAAAATGACACGCCAAGAACGTATAAGTCGACACATCATAATTAATAGGAAATTTGCAACGGATATCTCAAGCTTTTCAAAATATGCCTGAGGCGTTAAAATCTTCTATTCTTAGCATCTACATTCCTAAGAAATATTTAGCCAGGCTAGGCCGTTTCGAGTCTCTGTACAACCAGTTCGGTTGACCCGATTACGTTTGTTGTTACATAAATAAGTTGCAGAAATGCGGATTAGTACTTACCAAGATCTGAAAGAAATCCTGACATGATTTCCATGGCGTTTATATAGATAAATTTTGCATCTGTCAAGTTTTTATTGAGGTCATCAACAAGAAGCTTCAGCTTGTCATTGAATAATTGAACTGCATGGTTTACTGAATCAACACAAACTGATCCATTAGTCCCCATAGCCAACATTGCTGGAATGCAACCTATTGGACCAAGCCCAAAAACTGATACTTTTCTTGCACCATAATTGTACAAAGTCTGCCATGTAAATAGATGAAATTACTAATTAGAGCCTCATAAACATGTAAATTTGTTGAGATTTAGAAAACTTAATTCCATGTCATCGAAACCAATAAAATTGAGGGCAAAAAGACACAAAAACACGTAAAATTTATATTTCGTCTCAATGTGAGACTATGTCATCTTCCATGTCTACTGTAATTCACTTTATATAAACTCTAATGACGGCTTTTTATTTATCAAAAAAAAAAACTGGGACAAAATCGAAATTAGAAGTGTGAAATTTCTAAACTATCCTTGATGAAAATTTTGTTTGAGGAGTACAGTGTATAATGACAATAACTAGACTCCACAACTTAGCAAAACTACCCATATTTTTGGGTCAAAGACGAATTGTGCCAGGCAGACTGTATGGAACGACATGTTGTGCCGAGCATGTCGGTATGTAGTGAATCTAATTATTTAAGATGGAAGAAATATACCAACCTTTAGCTGCTGTGAATATTGTTGAATTAAGACAGTGGCATATTGATCTGGTGTATATAATCTGCTTGTTGAATAACTCTGTGGTATGTAGTAGTTGTTTATGTAATCGTTACTGCCAATTACAAGCGTGTATAGACATTTTCCTAGGTGCCGTTTGGCTGCAGTGTCGTTTCCAAGAAGAAGAACGTTGCGTGAAACTGTAAGTTTGTGATTTAACAACTGCCTGTCCAAACTGATCCTATCACCCTGCCAAAATAATAATTAAAAAGAATTAATTTTCTTAAAGATTTCGAATGCAAAAGTTGCTCGGCCGAGCCACCCAAGCTCGAAGTAGCCTGGATGCATTAGCCCGGGACATGAGGCTGTGAGTCGACCCACGCTGGTTCCAAAAGTCTAGCCATGTTACCCTAGTCGCTGGACCGACCCAAAATCAGCCTGTGTTACGTTTCTACTTAACAAAATTTCTTTTCATGTTTGGACTCGCAAAATATTTCATAGATATATAGGTTAATATTTACCAATTGCTGGCCTGTCTCGCTTCGAATTCCCGCCGATCCCGACCCATAGTTGACACCATTGATGAAGTCCCGACCTTGTGCTGTTGCAAAGGGAGGGATACAATTTTCGAATCCCAGAAGCTTAGCTGCAAAAGGGAGTTCACTTAGCAAATTCTGTAAAAAAATATAATTGATAATAAATATAAATTGTCTGAATAACATGTTACGCGCACGTACGACAAGGCGAAATACGAACCAAGAATGTCAGCTGTATTTCGACCATTAGTGAATCTGCCGGTCGGTCCAAGCGGAAAATCGATTCCATAAGGTAGATAGTTCACCTTTGCCTGTGTTACAAGATCATTATTATTCCCATTATCAACCAGTGAGTCTCCAAAAATGAAGAAGCAAGGAACTTGTGATGCCCCAATTGTAAATGGCAAAACTAGGACTGAGAGAATAATCAAAACAAAACATATATTGTGTAAATAAAACATTTATAAAAATATATAATGCAATAGGACTTGCTTATGAGTTTTTAAAATAGAAATTGAATTTTGAAAAATAAGTGAAAAACAAATTGCTTAGTCGGATTGAAAAAGAATATAGGGAGAAACTCCAAAGGCAAGAGACTAATCACATAAGCATTATGCACTAAACGTTGCTTATGAGTTCTTTCTTATAATGGCAATTGGATTAAAAATATAAAAATAAAATAAATGGACGGGTTGACAAAGCTTACACTTCACTTATTCAACTCTTCCAGCTCGTAACAAACCATGATTTCCATGTGGGACAAGTCACTAAGATGGACCAAAAACTTGAGTTTTAGTAATCCATAAAATAATTGGGATTAGTCAACACGATTAGGCATTATAATATATAAACATTCATACATTAAATTACCCTCGAGATTTGTTGGGAAACACTTGTTAATTTGCTTTGCACGAATAATACTCTAAATAATCATCGTTTATGAAATGAAAATTGTTAAGAGTGGTCTATATTCTAATGTAATATGGTATTTGTGCCCCATTCTTTATTTGTTAACATTTGCATTTCCAAGGCATCAAGTTCATAACAATAGAGATTGGTGGGCGAAATTTGAACCTGCAAGTAGGTGTGATGGGGCACTTGAGAAAAAATAGAAAGTTGGGTTGGGTTGGGATGGGGATGGGGATGGGGATGGGGATGGGGATGGGAAAGACGTAAAACTCAGATCACTTTTTAATATCAATGTGGACAAAAATGCATACTAATGTGCGATAAATTTAATTTTAGTAACGGTCTAACGGGGATGGGGATAGGGGCGGGAAAGACGTAAAACCCACATCACTTTTAATGTCAATGTGGACAGAAACGTATACTAATGTGCGATAAATTTAATTTTAGTAAAAGTTTGATAGGGACGGGGATGGGGATGGGACGGCAAAGACGTAAAAGCCACATCACTTTTTAATGTCAATATGGACAGAAACGCATACTAATGTGCGATAAATTTGATTTTAGTAAAGGTCTGAAGTCAGCCACTTCTGGTTCGAACCAACCCTCTCATTCGAACATGTCTAAACTCATACACCAAAAATAAATAAATAAATATGAGAGCACATACTGTAAGTGTTATTCCCTAAGTCTAATCGATTTAGATTGTAAACACTTTTAATATATTTAATACATTTAATTTTGGCAAGATCTATTATTTATTTAAATTAATTTTGTGATAAATAATATTAAATAATAGAATTCGAAGATCCAAATTTAAGTGATTTGTTAATCACAAGAAGTTGTGATTGTGAGATACAAATTACGTATAATTGAATCTTGAATAAATCGTGGTCGTAAGTAATGACGAGATACGGATATCGTTAATACAGTTAGACCATCACGTGTGGCATTTCTTACTTGTGAAGTAAGTAGTTGATCTCACGAGCTAATGTGTGGTGACACTTAAATAAACACGTGGATGTTTTGTTATAGAATAAAACATTGGAGACCTGCTAAGAGATTCCACATGACTAACTATCTAAGTATCAGTGGTTAATCTCTAACGTTCGGTAATGGAATTGGTCCTATAACTTGACGTCATCATAATGCCTTGTATGAGAACAGTCATACTTTGATGGTGTTGGATGTTGCTCTACTAAGGGCCGCTAATACGACATCGTTCGGGTATGTCAAGAACTATATGAAAGTTGTGGATGACCAATAGAGGATTCGTCACTCTTAGATAGTAAAAGATTGTGATCTGCATTTCGTTCAATTAAGTTAATAATGAAATCCTTGACTAAGGTATACATATAAGTTGAAAAGGAGTTTTCGACTCATATTAACTTAATAGTAGAATAAAAGATATGATCGATAATCGAGATTGACACACTTCCATATCTCGTAATTGATCGGATCATATTGACGAAGAGATTGTAATTTCATGGTAAACAAACAGTTTTGATTTTGTCACACCACGTGACATTTTCTATTACATGTGTTGCCATGATACATTGCTAGATGTCAATATCGGATGGCGAATGTGAATTTGTGATAAATTAAAAGGGTGTTTAATTTATCTGTTTTGATTATATCAAAATAATATTTCACGCCGTTAGGTATCGTGGTCGGGAATCTAATGTATCGTACACAAAAGAGAATTTGAAAATTGCAAATTGCCAATTGGTTAATTTAACAATCGTTGGATAAATTAATTAATTGAATTTATTATTTATATTCCCAAATTAATTAATTGGATTAATTAATTCACGAATCGGATTTAATTAAATGGATTAATTAAATATTGGACCGGACTGGGCCGAGCCCGTTTGGGTTTATATAAATACATGGCTAGGGTTTAAGGTCCATAAGATTTTTATTATTCTTGCTGGCACAAGAGGAAAAACTCTAGCAGTTGCAGTCTATTCTCTGTATGGATTTCATTGGAGGCTGGACAATTGGACAGTTATGGGAGGCAGATTCAAGTTACTGAAAAAGAATAACGCAAAGGAGTTTGCCAAATCAAGAAAAAGTATATTTCTCATCATAGTTCTTATCTAAATAAAAAGCTGAATCCTGAATGGGAATTGAAATTGTTTAATTCCACTATGCATATTTAAATAAATTCCCAACACGTACCCCGATTAAAATTACATTATATACAATCCATGTAATACAACACACCTTTTTTTGCCTAATTAATACAACATCATAGGAAAATTGTACATTACAAATTTCATACAATAGGTTTTTCTAATATGATGCATTAAGACAACATAACAAGCATGCGTTATTTATTTTAAAATACAAATATATTACCCACCAGAAAATACTATTAAAATTGATAATTTATAAGATAAACAAATAAAATATAGGAGTATATATTCATTGTCTTACTTAAATTCCAAACATTTATCAGTTCATTCTTATCTTAACTTTCAAATAATTAACATGTCTAGGTACTAATGACGATTTCTAATCAAATATTCTATCAACATGCTTAATGAAATATAAATATTTTGTTAAACTTTTATATTCTAATATTTTTATTTAGATATATGTGCGAAAAATACATATTTGTAAGTCGTGACAATTTTTTTTGGATGGAAGTTGTTGTTAGAACGATATTTGTTAATTATTGGAACGTTGATAATAAGAATGTGACAAAAAGAGCAATGATTAAAGACTGAAAATTATAAATAAAATGTAGTTGAGCAAACAAGAACTATAATGAAAATATAATTATTCTTATCAAATTTACATGTCATAAAACTTATATGAAGAACCTTCATTCTAGCACGACAAGTTACTCGGTGATTCATTTCTTGCAAAATTATATTTTGTAAATCCCCATAATCCCATAGAATCCGCACGATGTACCACAAGTCAGACTTTTATTATTTTTGTAGAATATTTTGCTTAAGACTTAGGAGAAAGTCAACTTCCAATATTTTGCCTTATAAATAAAGTAATTTGAATTTGCTGTAATAATTAGTTTAATATAAGTTGAGTGTTCATTTGTGCTTTGGGGAAATCTTGTATGAAAGTTACGGAAAGTCGATCTTGTAAGCAAATTATTACGTTCATTCTTAAAAGAAAATGAAAAAACAAGTGCAGGTAGTAAAAGTTAAAACTTTGAATAATAATTGCAGCCCTACGGTCTTAGAAATTATTATATTATATTCCTAATTCTTCTGTATAAATATAAGGGTTTTGATTCTTGATAAGACTCAAATTTATTAACTTTTATTCTCTCTTCTCTTTTTCTCTCTTTTTATAACACGTTATCAACACGAAAGCTTAATTGTTCAAAGTTTAGTGAAAGTAGTAAACTTTTTAAACATAGTCATGTGTTACATGTATCGAAATTAATTTGGTAATATGTTATTTTTTTTCACAGATGCATGATAATGTCAAATATGTGCATTTCGATTTCAATGTAATATTTTTCATATGGCTTCTAAAATTTCCTCGATATCTACGTGAATTTCCTTTTTGTTTATGTAATACAAAAACACACTCATCTCCATCAATTACTTGGTTGCTCGTGTTTCTACATTGAGACATATTTTAATTGGTTGCTTGTTAATCACACAAACACGTGTGGTGGAAATTGTTCATTGATTACTTGGTTTAGCACATTAATTGTTGGTCAAAATAAATTTGCTCAATAATACAGGTTTAAATCATGTTTTAATTTGTTAATTCAGCCACAATTAATCATGCTATAAATTATGTACAAATTTTCGAATGTAGTTGTGAAATTTAATTATACTTTAAATCATAATTCTTTCAGATATGCTTTCTGAATATTCTTTTTATCATTAACTTCATTAATGATTTTTTATTCTTGTATAAACTTTAAAGTATATATTGTTTTTACTCCTGAAATAGTATAACATTATAATTAATATTTTTGAAGAGCATTACTTGCTCCAAAAGAGTATGAACTATATTTTCTTAATATTTCAGATAGATATTATTTGTTCCTGAAGAGTGTGAATTATAGTTTTTAATATTTTAGAAGAATATTGACATATTATTCTTGAAAAAGTAATAGTAAAATACAATGTGTTCCCAAAGTAGCACGTGCTTTGAAGAACATATTATTTTAAACTAGTGTTTATCCCTGAAGGAAAATACGTAACTTATGTCATATTGACTACTTAATTAATTATTATGTGATGTTTAATCATATTCTTCGAAACTATTATATTTTTTTGCTTTATTGTATAGTTAATTAAATGGCAAACATCACAAAACTTAAATTTGCTGCACTTGATATACCAAGCGAAAATTATGTATCATGAGTACTCGATACCAATATCCATCTTGTCTCAAAAAGGGTTGTGAGAGACAATAAAAGAAAGAAACAAAAAAAATCCCTACAGGATCGTGCAAAAGCATTCATCTCGTCATCATCTTCATAATGGATTGAAAATTAAAAATCTCACTAAGAGGAATCCACGGGTTTTTTAGAAAAAAAAAATAATTGAAAGATTTGATCATCAGAGATTATAGTGCTCCCAAAGCTCTCAATGAGTAGATGCACTTTCGTTTGTAAGACTTCAAAACTGTTTGTATGTACAATTCTAAACTGTTCAAAATATATCCAAAATTGGCATTGTGTGGAAAAGAAATCACTGATAAAAATATGTTGGAGAAATTT